TTTTGTCCTTATGCTCGCCAGCATTTGCTGCTGTTTCCTTGGGGACTGCCATTTTGACTGGGGTAAAATGGCATCTCAGTATAGTGTTTATTTATTTATTTTTTTGACATAGTCTCCCTATATCCCAAGCTGGCCTGGATCATGCTATGTAGACCGGGCTGGCTTCTGTCTCACAGAGATCCACCTGCCTCTGCCCCCCCCGAGAGCTGGGATTAAAGACTTGTGTCACTATCCTAGATTAGTGTAGCTTTGATTTGCATTTCTCTGACAAGTGAGGTTGAACATTTTTTCATGTTTAGCTGCCATTTGTATTTAATCTTTTTTATATTGTTTGTGCATTTTACTAACCCATGTTTTGATTTCATTGTTTGATTTCTTCTTTTTGTGTGTGTGGTATATTAATGTATATGTGTTCATGAGTGTGTATCCATGAGTATATGTGCATGTGCACATGTGTGCTTGCACATTGTGGAAGCTGGAGGCTGACATTATATGATTTTCCACTTTATTTTTTGAGACAGGGTTTCTAACTGAGCTTGAGCTCATCTCTTTGACTAGATTGACTGGTCAGTGGACTCCAGGGAGCCACCTGTTCTGTCCCCGCTTTCCCCAATGCTGGGGTTACAGATATGTACCATCACAACTAATTTTTATGTGGGAACTAGGAATCTGAACTCAGACCCTCATGCTTATGCAGAAGGTCATTTCTAGAGCCTCTGGACTTTTGGATTTTTTGTTGTTTGGATTTTTGTGTTCTTTGAATGGTCTATATGTATAGCTAGCAAAAATTTTCTCCCATTCTGTATACTGTCTGTTTACAAGTTTAGCTGTTTCTTTTGCTGTACAGAAGCTTTTTAATTTCACGATCTCCCACTTACTAATTGTTGTATTTATTTCCTTAGCAATTGAAGCTTTATTCAGAAACTCATTACTTGTGCCTATATATTTTTAAAGATTTATATATTTATTGTTTTTTTATTTTTTGAGTATTTCATGCATGAGTTTTATATTTGTGTCTCCTAGTTCCCTCCAACTCTTCCCATGTCCCCCTCAGTTTCTTGTCCTCTTCTTTGATTATTGTTACACATACATATATTTATAAATGTACATGGACAGACATATGCAGTGAGTCTATTTAGTGCTCACGTATACATGTGTTTAGGCTCGACCATAGATAACCTATCAGCGAACTAGTAGTCCCTGGAGAAAACTGAGTCTCCCTTCCTCAGTATCCATTGATTGCCTGTAGCTCTTCTTCTAGAGGTGGGACCGCTGTGAAATGTCCCCATCCACATTTGCATGTCAAATGTGTCCTTTGTCCTTATGTAAATCTTGTTAGGCTGCCATACTGTGGAGAGTTTATGGGTTCAGCTTTTCTATCATGTCTACAGTGCATTAACAAGCAGCAGGCATCTTTTTCCTCTGACTCTTAGAATCTTTCCGTTGCTTCTTCTGTGATGTTCTCTGAGCCCTGGATGTAGAGGCTTCATTGTAGATGTATCAGTTAGGGCTGAGTCCCCCACAGTCAATTCTACGTGTTTTGACAAATTGTGGAACTTTATAATAGTCTCCATCTGTTGTAAATAGATGCTTCTTTGATGAATGGTGAGAGCTATACTTGTCTGTGAATATAAGAACACATTTAGAAATTAGTCTAAGAAAGTGGCAGTAGTAGGTTCTTTTAGGGTCTGTGACCCCTCCAACCATGTGTTCTTGGCTATGTTTACAGTACCATGCATGAATTCCCTACTGTTAAGCAGGCCTTAAGTTCAATCAGACAGCTGTTGATTACCCCAAAGATAAAAGTGCCAGGATTGCAGCAGTAGAGATAATTTTCTGGGCTGGTCATTGTTGTGGTTTATGGGCTTTACAGCTAGGACGGACCATTAATTGTGATTGGTTTTCTCCCTTGGTAGCTTGCATAATACCTTCTGATACTATGAGAGCTACTCTTCAGGGAGGAGGCAGCCAGGTTAATTCCAGCTCAGTTGTCAAGTCTTTTGTCCAGTGTGTTGTGCTTTCAGCAGTAGGATTTTACCTTCAGGTTCTGGGGGGCAGCAAAAGGCTATGGCAATAGCCTATATTATTTGGGGAGTCTCTTGGACTACCCTGACCAACACCTCAAAGTGAGATTTCCCTTGCCTGGCACTGTGATTTTTGTTATAGAGCCTTCAGCTGTACACATGCGCTTATATATTATATAAGCATTTTTCAGTAGACTTATGAAAGAATGCATTTTCCCTATGACTTGTCATATTATCTAAGTATTATTTATCTCTTTTTCCCTCTCTTTCTGTATTGTTCTCCTTCCCCAGTTAAAATACCCCGTGTTTTCCCCATTTCTCTCTTATAATGCCTGTGTCCTTCTATATCCCCCTCCCCCTGTGCTCTAGCTCCTTCTTCCTGTCTCCTCCCATAGTTCCTTTTTACTTTCCTGGCTCCTGCAGTTACTTCAGATATATATTGACATTTGAAGATTTGGAGCTAAATCTACAAATGAGAGAACATGCTTCCCTTGTTTTTCTGTCTGTGTTACCTCACTCAGTGTGACACTTTTCATTCCATCATTTACCTGCAAATTTTCATGATCTCATTTTTTTAAACAGTGGAATAGAACTCAGTTGTGTAAATGTTTCATATTTTCATTATTCATTCATCAGGCAAGGAACATTTAGGTTGTTTCCCTTTCCTAGTTATTGTGAAAAGGGTGGCAGTAAACATGACTGAGCAGGTATCTCTGTAGTAAGTATATGCCAAAGAGTGGTATAACCGGGTCATGTGGTAGATGTATTTTTAGTTTTTTTGAGAATTCTCCACATTGATTTCTTATGCCTATATCATAAAGTGTTTTTCTCTGACAGTTTGAAAGTTTCAGGTCTTTGTTCCACTTGAAGTTAATTTTTTTCAGGGTGAAAGATTAGGATCTGGTTCATTCTTCTACATGTGGATACTCAGTTTTTCCAGGACTGAAGAGATTGTCTTTTCTCTAAAGTGTATTTTTGACATCTTGGTCAGAAGTCAGATGGCTGTAGCTGAGTGGATTTATGTCTGGATTTTCTACTCCATTCATCCACATGTCTTTGTACCAGGACTATGCTGTTTTCATTACTATGGCTCTGTGATACAATTTGAAACCTGTTATTATAAAACTTTCAGCATTGTTGTATTTGTTTAGGGCTGATCTGGGTATTTGGAGGGGACATCCTTTGTGCTTCCATGCGAATTTTAAGATAGTTATTTTGTTTTTTGTTTTTTTTTTTCTGTGAAGAATGACATTGGGATTTTAATGGAGATTGCCTTGTAGGTTGCTTTGGTACAATATCCATTTTTACAATATGACTTCTTCCAGTCCACGAGCATGTCAAATGCAGATCTTACCCATTTTTTTCCCCTTCAACATGTGTTAAGTGGCAGAGAAAATGGCCCAGGAAATGTCTTTTGGACTTTCAGCCTCGGTTGCTATGGTGTGCTTAAACCCATACTGCAGTTAAAGGATTTGGTTCTTCTGGTGTGTGTGTGTGTGTGTGTGTGTGTGTGTGTGTGTGTCAAGACAGCACAGCTTGTCCATGCTTTGCCCTGTTTGCAGTTGGGGGAGAGGTGTGTGTGGCTCACATTCTTTCACAGTGCACCATTCTGGGGAGAGACAGTTTATCAAGTGCTTAGAAGCTTAAGACTCTGAGTCTGGAATTGAACAACCTGGAGTGAAATCCCAGCTGGGTAACCCAGGACAAGTTACATTTTCTCTTGTTGGCTCAGGTTCTTATTTGTAAATTGAGGGTGGTCAGTAATGGTTGCTGTGAGGATTGAAAGAACAAACATACACATTTATAAGCATCACACAGACACGATATTTCAAGTATCACATACAGTGAATATTCAGCTACAGTGTATGGATAATGATACAACAGTATTATCCTCTGATCATAGCTCTCAGTGCTGTTTTTGTCTTTACTGTCCCCACCCCAGTGCTGTGCACTTGGTGGGTGCTTTGTGAGACTGTTGAGACAGTTGATAGATATGGTCTAGTTGCATGGTTGAACATATTGCCTGTTCTTTTTCATCTTGAAATTATATTTGCCTTATTTCTCTTGGCTTGAATAGAATCAGGGATTGAACATCTTGACCAGAGTCATCTCAAAAGTATTTGCCAATATCAATAGATAAGGTTTATTAAGTACTTGCTATGTAACAGGTGCACACTAATGTTTTCAGTTAGCATATTGAATTCATCCTTGAATCTCACAAGGCAGATATGATACCCTTTCACAGTTGCAAATTTTATGTGTGTTACTCTTGATAGGAAGTTGTGCTGTGAGGCAGGGAGATTTCTATAGGACCAGCAGAGCTGGGACTTCTCCTCAAGTCTTAGTGTTTTATGGTTAAATATTTCAATAATTAGTCATGTTTATCTATTATTACCCTAACTTCCATTAGGCACAATCACATGTCCTACTTGAATATTAGTATGGAAGTTTAGATATATGTCATTAATATAGCTATTTTATTGTGGGTATATAAACTACACATTCCTTAGTTTAAAATTCTTATTCTGGGGACTGGAGAGATGGCTCAGCAGTTAAGAGCACTTGCTGTTCTTACAAAGGACCTGGGTTTGCTTCTCAGCACCACATGGCAGCTCACAACTGTCTGTAGCTCCAGTTCTAGGGGTCCAGTGCCCTCTTCTGACTTATATGGGCACCAGGCATGCATGTGGTGTACTTACATACATGCAGACACTCATACACATAAAATAAAAATAAATCTTTTTAAAAAGGGAAAGAAAATCCTGTTTTGAGGAAAGTCCTTGTATTGAAGCTAATACCCTCATACTTTGTGTTAAAGATTGAGTAATTTATTTACTTGTCTCTTTATTTTCTGTCATTGCAAATGGGAAAATTCTATCTACTGCTTATCACAGAACAGAATAAGAATAATGCTAAAAGTGATGTCAAATATTTGTTAAACATTAATGGATTTTTCCTTTTTCTTTTTCCACCTAGATTAAATTTTCCTTGTGAATTTCATACCCCCAAGTAAGAAGCGTTTTAATTTCTACCTTTTTTGCTTGATTTGCATGTATATTACTGGGTATTAAAGAAATGTCCTATCTCCCGGTCATAGTATTTTCCTGTAGCCTGTATTCTGAGAATTATACATAAGCCTAGTGTATGAGTATCAGTCATCAATGAAGGGTTTGGATGAGCTCCACCTTACTGTTACCCTTTAGTGTTGTGGTGGGGTCACTGTGGACCTCCTGGGTCTTTTCCTTGTATTTTTCAGTATACTGCTAATTTTTAAGCCAAGAATATTTCATGTTGTTGGTGATGAGATTCATGTGCGCTCTTTGGCTCTGCCACTCCCCAGCTATGTGGCACCAGGATGTTGTGATACCTCCTTGCCAAATTGCACCTACTTTATAGAATCTGTGGGAGACCTAGTGCTCATCCATACTCAAGCACATCGTAAGTGATCAGTACAGCTACACATTTATTTATTATAAAGGTGGCCAAGTGCTGGCACTAACCCAGCTTCAGATGGTGATCATGAAAAGCTTCCCAAGGTTGTCATGCCCCAGTGATTTAGCCAAGAGCAAAAATTAAAGAAAGATGTTTCATGAAAAAGGCTATGGGTTTTTCATGAGAAATGGAGCATGAAGTAAGGGGAGATTCATGGAAGGGCAGGCAGGGACAGATCACAGAGGTCTTGCTTTATCAGCCCAGGGGCTCCCACTCAATTCCTGGGAAATAGGGACCCAAAGAAGAAGCTGTGTGGAGGTGGGTCTGTGCTGACTTGTGGAAACAGTTCCACAGTGGCTATACTCTGAGATGACTGGTCTAAAAATTCCTTGAGGATGGAGAAGGCCAGGAGCAGAGGAGGGTAGATGGGTAGCACTGTGTTTCTATCATGCTCACTTTTAAGTTCTGGGCCATCTAAAGCAAGGCCAATAAAAGGCAAGGCCTCTGGTGCATGGACTCCTTTTCAGAAAATGAGGTAGATGGGCTGCAGTGTGGGGTTCTCAGGTGGAGAGAAATCTGCTCAGGAAATAGTAAGACGCTGTCCATTGCTGTGGCACCCGTGTGCATGTGCATGTACTGAATGAAGATCTGACCTGGGCAAGTAAAGAACTGTTCTCTATTTTCCTGTAATTGCAGTGTCCTTACAGCATGTGGTGAAAATAGCATTCCTCTTCCTCCTTCCCCTCCTTCTTCCTCCTCCTCCTCCTCTTCGTCCTCCTCCTCCTCCTCCTCCCCTTCTTCTCCTCCTTCTCCCCTTCTTCCCCTTCTCCTCCCCCTCCCTCCTCCTCCTCCCCTTCTTCTCTTCCTCCTCCTCCCCTTCTTCCCCTCCTCTTCCCCATTCACCACCACCTCCTCCTCCTCCTCCTCCCCTTCCCCTTCTTCTCCTCCTCCTCCTTCTCCCCTTCTTCCCCTCCTCCTCCCCCTTCACCACCTCCTCCTCCTCCTCCCCTCTTCCCCTCCTCCTCCCCCTTCCCCTCCTCCCCTTCTTCCCCTCCTCATCCTGTTCTTCCTTCTACTCCTCTTCCTCATCTTCCTCCTCTCCCTCCTTCTCTTCAGCCAAATTTCTCTCAGTTACCTTTGTGTCTGGGGTTGCAGGTTTCTCCCCACCCCCATTACTTTCTCATTCTCTATAGAGATAGAGTAGTGAAAAATAGAAAGGCATCAGAAAATAATTCACATGAAGAGTCTTCACTGCTAAGTATGTGCCATAAACAAGGAAAAGAACAACAGCAACCCACTTTCACTGTTTTGGTTAGAGTGCTTTGCTGTGCTACTTAGAGGGAGTCATGGAAATATAGCTGTGTCAGGGTAATGGCCAGTCAGCCTCATGAAGTCAGTGAGTGTCAGTTTTCTAGAAGGAAGAGAGATGTTTCTTTGTGTCTCATCTGGAATGGCTTCAGTTCTAGAGAGTATTTTTAATATGCAGGGTTGTAGTACAAGTAAATATTTGAGACTGTTAGGATATGACTTTCTTTGGAATGCTTTAAAAACATTATTAAAATATGCCAAAAAATTTGATTCTTTAACCTCCCTGGTGTAGCCTTACTTAATGTTTAAGGCATGAAGAGAAAAAGAAAGGCAGTTGGGGCTGATTTTGCATTCCTACACTAAGTAGCCAATAGGAACTTTCTATCTGTTAGGCCACTGGCAGTGGACAGCAGGCAGCCAGGACTGTGACCCATAAGAGAAGACAGTCACATGAGGGTGCTCTGGCATGCTCACCCTGGTGTTTGACTTGTGTTCATTTCTTGCCAAGGTATGATGTAGCGAGCCCTGGCAGACCTGCGATCTCATAGCATGGAGAGGGCAGATCTATAGTTCAGGGCTGCTGAGGCTGAAATTTGCACAGCAAGATGGTGGAAGGAAGTGGTGAAGGGCTGAGACCTTCACAAGGTGATGTCTAGTTGAGAGCAGCTGCTTCTGGGTTGTGAACAGAATGGTGATGCAGAAGCTGAATGTTACTGACAGCGTTCCCAGTCCTGAGTGTCTTAGCCATTCTGTCAACAAATTGGAGAGGCCACATGCAAGGAATAAGGACAGTATCTTAGAGGAAGGCCACAGCTAGGACCAGGGCTACATTTGAAATGGGCCCATCTAAATCAAATATAGGACTAGGCCTAGCAGAATTGAGATCTACTGGTAACTTAGCTTTGACAACCGAACTGAGCCCCCTTGATCTGTCTACTTCATAATGACCCATATTTTAAATGAAAATGAAGCTGCCAGTGACTGGAAATCAGTCATCATAGATTTTGGGCTCCACTGCTGTTCCCTGAAATGACCCAGGGCTTTCTGGAGGAGTGACTTCATCCAGGACAGAGACAGGACAGATACAAGATGAGCTCCAAATGTTTCTTAATGTGAGAAAGCCAAGAAATAACGGAAAAAAATTATTTGTCAAAAGATAGAGAAGGTGGATTGAACAGGTTCTCAGATGCTGAATCTGAGTACCCACATACAGCAAGGACTGAAGTAGAGATGTGTCGTAAGAAAAGCGGGATTCTATGTATTTGAACTAGACATAATTACGTAAGTAGATGGATAAATGGTGTAGAATGCTGATAATGAACAGTAATGTGGTGGGAAATTGGTGTCAGTGTGCTGGAGCTGTTACAGTACCAAGTTTGTAGTATGCAAACATCACCAATAGCTGCTAAATTTAGGGAAAATTTTCTTCTCCCCTGCTCCTCTTCCTCTGTTCTGTTTTCATCTTAGTAGTTTGCAATGTAGCCTAGATTGGCCTTGAACTCATGATCCTCCTACCACAACTTCCTGAATGTTGGGATTATACAGGAAAATTTTGAAATGGGACAATACATTTGGATGGTTTTAAAGTGTCTTCCCCAGGTGAATTATTAGTTGCAAGGGAAAATATAATAATTTCTTTTTATTAAAGGAATTGGACACTAGTTTGGATCAGAATGGACTTAAGTAGCTTTGACTGTGATAGGCAGGGAACTACGTCACTGACGGGGAGTTTTCTGGCTGAGAACACCTAAGCTGAACGGAATCATCAGGAATTGCCTGAGGAAATGTCAGACAAGTCAAAATGGAAATATTCTATTAATATAAAGGAGATGCACATTCTTCAGAAGTCAAGTGTCATAGAGGCAGAGGAGTGTTGTGTGTTTCAGGTTCAAGGTGGCTCCAGAAATGACAGCTAAATGTTATACCTGACCCTGGGCTGGATTCTGAATTGGAGGGAAAGAAATGTTATAAAAATCATTATTATGCTAATTGAATATGGAGTAGGTTAAAGTATCAACATTAATTTCACCAAGGTTAATAACTGCATTGTGATTATATAAGAGTATCCTTATTCTCGGGAAATAATTTCTGAAGTTTTCAAAGTAAAGGGCCATGATGTATGAAACTGAGCTCTATATGCCTGAGGGTGAGAGTGCTGGATGTGTGTATGGAAGAGAGCAAGTCAGTGATTAGGTAAATGGGTTAAATCTCGATAGTAAATGAATCTAGGTAAAGACTGCATGGGTGTTCTTTGTACTGTTATTTTACAAGTTTGCTGTCGATTTGAAATTACTTTTAAATTTTTAAATAAAAAATTTAGTCACGATAAAGAAAGATACAGGCACTGCCTAATTGCCTTGGTGTAAATTTTCTACCCTTTAGGCTGTTTTCTTAAGTAAACCATTTTTTGGTGGTGTCTTGGTCAGTTAGTGGACAAAACCACTTCTGTGTATGTCAGTTAAGAAAGCAGATCAGAAGACCTAATGCAAGAAGGAAAATGTATTTCTAACATCTTCCAAGTGCTGAGATTATAGGCATGCACCACAGTTCTTGGAGCATTGGGAATTGAACTCAAGGCATTGTCATGCTGGGCAAGCTCTCTATCAACTGGTACAACAGCTACATCCCCAGCCCTCTGATTTCTTTGATGTTTGTTAGTTGAGTAGTTTGGGGAAAGCACTCTAACCTTTGGGACCTTCAGCTGCTGCTGCATTTAAAAATACTTTCCTATTATGATTATAAGGCTCCAGTGAGGAAATGCATGTGAATGCTCTTTGTAAATAAGAATTTCTTCTACAAAGATGAATGTACTATGCATAGATTTGGTTACAGATAAAGAAATGGCTTAGGCTAAGATAGAGATTTTCATTAATTTGGGTGGTCTTTTCTCCCCTTAATGTCAGGTTTTTACCTGACTAAATGAGTTTTTTTTTCCCCCTGTGGACTCTTTGTTTCCTTCTGGTTGACTTCCTTCTTCTCATTTCCTGCTTTTATTATTCTAGGCAAAACTTCAGAGACTGAAGAAGTCGTGGCCTTTCAAGAAGGTACAGTTGGGTGTATAAAAGACAGCATAGGTAAGTGAAATTCTGTGTTTCAGTTGTCCTGGAAAAATTCATGTGTCTGAAGTACCTTGTAATTCCTCTTGCTTTGTTCTGAGATTGAGTGTCCAGTTCTGGTGGTGTAGAGGGAGTTTCCATGGTTTTGGGGTGTCTGAGGGAAAATCCAACTAAGGAAAGAACAGTATGATTTGGAGAGGGTCAGGAAAAGTGTTGGAGAGGCCAGCTCCTCCATTGGAGGAGGCAGGCAATATGACCAGGCAGTAAGACAAAGGGTACAGGAAATGTACCTTATATGCCTGAGTCATAAAACCCTAGGGGAAAGATTCCAGGAAGGCCCAAAGGTGTCATCTGGGGCCAGATACCTTTGATATGGGCTTGCTTTCAATTGGTGCCTCACAGAAGATTACAGTTAGGAAGCATGCCACCTTTCTTACAGTTGAGCTGTCTAGGCCAGTGCTCAGAGTGCCAGTGAGGTGGAATAAAGACCTTGACCTAGAATATAAAAGCTAGCTGAATGACCTAAACAGTGTCTTTACATCACTGTTGATTGCCAATCTAGCACAGATTTTTATGTCTGTCTGTATGCCCCCAAAATATTTCTAGATTATGCTTGTTTTTGAGCTTGATAAAAATGGTATATTCCATGTAGTATTTTACAACTTGCATTTTTTACCTGGATGTGTTGTGAAATTGTCTGTTGCATATAATTATAGTGAATTTATATTTTTAAAGCAAATTCTGCTATGAGAATCTGTTACAGATCATCTGAGGTCCCATTTCCCTCTAACACTTGGTATTTTTGTTGCCGTTCTAGTTAGGTGTGAGGTAGTATATTTTAATTTTCTTTTCTTAATGAATTGTGAGATTGAGACCTTTCTTTCAGTATTCTTAGCGAAGAGCTCACAATGTAGACAAACCTTTCAGTACCTTCCCCCTCCCCTCCCTTCCTTTCCTCCAGTCTTTCTTCTGTTCCCACTCCTTCTCTCCCCTCCCCTCTCCTCCCCTTTCATGTCCTTCCCTTCCCACCCCTTCCCTTTCTTTCCCTCCCCTCCCCTACCCTTTCCTCTCCTCTCCCCTCCCCTCCTTTTCCTCTTCTTCATTTTCCTTTTTCTTTTTTGGTTGGGGTCTTGCTATGTAGCTCAGTCTGCCTTGAACTGTGATCCACCTGCCCTGGTCTCCCGAGTGCTGGAACTATAGGCATGCACATGTTGGCTTTTCCTTGCATGGCAAAGGAATTGTTTCTGTTTTGTTTATTGAAATACCATCTAACAGTCTCTGTGTGGTTCATTTTCATCACAAACCTTTGTTCTTTTGGATTGACTTTTCTGTTGATTTGTATTCTCATTCAGTCTTCTTTTTTTTTCTCTTTATTGTATTTCCATTTTTCTAATCACCTTTCAGTTTAAAACTCAGTCAGCATTTAAAGTATGCTAAGTCCTTTCCAAAATAATAATATAAAACTCATAGGCCAGCTAATGAGGATGCGCTCCTTCTGGGCTTACATGTTCTTGACAGTATTCCTGCTCTTCATGTTATCATAAAAGTTGGACAGATGTTAACTTGGTAGCATTTGCTTAACGTCATGTATCGTTACCATATGCCTCCCTCCTTTCCCCTTCTTCCATTCTGTACCTTTCCTCTCATCAGCTTTGCCTTCTTCTTAAGTTACTTTGCTGAGAATCTCTTGACTTTATCTCTCAAATGCCTGCTTTTCACTCTTGCCATTCCAGTTGGCAGGCCCTTCTAGATGGCTTTGTGAGCGTGCCATCCCATTGAAAGACATCTGCTGCTTCTTGTGTTTGCCATTCTTTTTTTGTTTGTTTGCTTTTTTTTTTTTTTTTTTTTTTTTTTTTTTTTGTCTTTTTGAGACAGGATCTCCCTGTAGCTCCAGCTGTCCTGGAACTCACTATGTAGACCAGGCTGGCCTTGAAATCACAAAGATCCGCCTGCCTCTGCCTCCCAAGTGCTGGTCCTGTAGGTGTGCGCCACCATGCCTGGCAGCATGTTTGCCATTCTTTACTAAACAACTGGACTTATTCTAAGGTTGTGTTTGGTGTTCTGCAGGTTATTTTTTTTTGTCCTGTTTTTAATTGTGCATTTCATGTATCTGCAGATTTGCGCTACTTAGTAGCTCTGAAAATGTCTTAGCTATTGGTGTTTTAAATACATTCTCTTACCCATTCTATTATCTTTCCAGTTTTTATTAAATGGATGTTAGAATGTCATTTTACTCTTCATAGCTTTATAACTTCTGCTTGATCTTTTCTTTTTAGTTTCTTTTTTTCTCGCTTCATTTTTTTTTTTTGGACAGGGCCTCCTAACCCAAGCCCACCTGGAACTCATTATGTAGACCAGGCTGGCCTCAGTCTGCCTGCCTCTGACCCTGGAGTGCTGGGATTAAAGGCTTGTGCCATCATGACTGGCATTTTTCTGCTTCATTTTGACTACTTCCTCAGTATTTAACTTCTAGTTCAGTAATTTTATCTTCTTCTGCATTGGATTTCCTGTTGAGGTTTTACTTTTAATGACCACATCTCTGTTCCAAAAGCTCTATTTCTGCTTCAAATCTGTCAGGATATATGTATGTATCTGAATATATGTATGTATCTCCATACATATATATGGAGAGATGGAGGCTCTCTATGGATGGTTTGGAACTCATTAAGTACATCATAACTGTTTATTAATTAAATTTATTATTTATTTATTTATTAAATAAATTTTTATTGAGTTTTTGTGTATTTCATACATAAAGTCATCTTTATGTTCCCTTCCCCTTCCCCTTCCCCTTTGGCACCTCCCATAGTGCCACCACTTTAGTTCATACATTCTGTCATTTGTATTAAGGTCTATTAAGTAAAGTTAGTATCCTGAGATGTCCCTCAGGGTTTAGTCAGCCTATCTTAGAGTCTTTCTTCAGAGCGTCAGAAAGATCAGCTCTTCCTGACCCAGCAGTAATTAGCTGCCAATAATTCTTTGACTAAGTTTGGGGCTTGCTGTTCATTTCCACAATTCTGTGCTGGGTTTTTGTCTGTCTAAGTTTGCCTGGGTCTTGTGCATGCTGACACCGTTGCTGTAGGTTTGTATGAGAAGGGTCCCATACAAATGCCTGTAGGACCATTTCCGTATGGTCATATACCTCCTCCCTGGCTCTTACAATCTATCTGGCCCCTCTTCTACAATGGTCCCTGAGCCCTGGGTGGGTGGACCTCAATATAGGAGTCCTGTCCAAGGACCTACACTCTGCCGATTCTTGTTCTCTGTGTATATTTGATAATATCAGGATCTAAATTTCTTAGTGTTCTGAATGTGTGTGTATGCTTTTTTCCTAATGTGCCTATTGAGTTTGGATTATTTGTTAGTAATCCAATTGGGACCTTTATCTTGGAAGCTTACAGTTACCAGTTATGAGCTATCTAGGGTAGCACCATTTGTAGATCCTGGTTGCTTGGGAGACTGAGATAGGAGGATTGTTTGATCAGCTCAGGCAGCATAGTAAAACCCTATCTAAAAAAATTAAAATCCAGCCAAGCATGATGTCACAAATCTGTAATCCCAGTACTTTGGAGGCTGAGACAAGAGAATTTCCATAAATCAAATGTCATCCTGTGTTACATATTGAGTTCTGTCTAGGCTAGCCTGGACTGTAGAGTGAGACCCCATCTCAACCCCCTCACCCAAATTCACTTGATAATTATCTCTTAGAGCCTTCAGGTATAACTTGGACAGACTGCAGGTCCAGGACCACTTTTATTTCCTGGAGTGCTGGGAAGCTGGGAAGGTAGATGCTGCATGCTGTGCTGAGTCTTGGTGTCTCCTGGCTGCTCTGGCTTCCTGCTGTGCTCTGGCTTCACAGCTCTCTGCTCAGGTCTCAGTGCCCTGCTCCTGCAATATTCTCATGGATTTGCTTTCTATCCTGAGGCTAGCCAATGCATTAGAGAGCATGTTAAAAAAATGATATTCTAGATCTTATTCAAGATTATTGCACAGTAGAAAAGCCTGTAAAATGTAATCCAGCCCAGTTCCTGGCTTAGGAGTGCCCAAGTGATCTAAAAAGCAATCCGTTTTTCTTTTTCTTTTCCTTTTTTGGTCTTTTTGAGACCGGGTCTCCCTGTAGCCCCAGCTATACTGGAACTCACTATGTAGACCAGGCTGGCCTTGATCTCACAGAGATCCGCCTGCCTCTTTCTCCCGAGTGCTGGGACTAAAGGCGTGCACCACCATGCCCAGCTGCAATCAATTTTCTGTATGTGTCCTTTGTCAATTTTCATTTTTTCCACTTTAAATGGTAAATTACTTGTCTGTGTTTCACCTAAGGATAAGAAATACTGTGACAGTGACCTCTTTTGAAAGTGTGCTGAACCACTTCATTACTGCATCCTCATACTAGCTCCTTTCTTGTTAATCTGTTAACTTTTTACTCCATGGAACTCTTGGAATAACTCATTAGCACAGAATACTTATTCAGCACCAACTTACTGTGCCTCGCAGTCTGTTTTCTGTCCTAGTGTCATTTTTCTTTCTATCCAGAATCCCAAGCATAAAAGATTCTGCTGTGGTTCTCTGTCTGTGGATGCCTTTGTTCCCCACATGGAGTGCAGGTATGCTTGCCATTGTGAGTTAGAGGCATTGTATCCATAAGCACCACCGCCTCACATTTAGCTCTCTATATTAGATATGGAAGGCAAAGTGGAAGTTTTGGTTTATAGAATGCTGTTGCCTTGGGCTTTGGCATATGAAATACTTCAAAAATGCATGTCAAGTGAGATTGTAGATTTAACAGTTTCTTATTTTTCTGCTGCAGAACAATCCGTATTATTTTTTAGATGCTGCACAGCTCTGACAGGGTGTGTGTAGAATTCGTTATGAAAGTAAGATGTGAGGCTGCCTCTAATGCATGGACTCTTCATGCTTTGTAGGTTACAAGAATGGTGTCTGTAATACTGGTGTAATTGTAGAAAGACGGGCACCACAGACATTGCTAGGAAATGCTGAGCTCTGTGACTGGAGTTTCC